CTCTCTCTCTCTCTCTCTCTCTCTTCTCTTTCTCTCTCCCTCTCTCCCTCTCGCACCTGCTCAGATCTGCGCGCCGAGCCAATGACAGACGTTTGCGTCCTCGCTGCCGCAGAGAGACGCGTCAAGCTGCGCAGCGCCAATGTCTCCAAATGCTCAGCGGCTAATTCCGAGGCGTTAATTTCACATTAAAAGCCCCGCGGTTTGGCACCACTCTCTCTCTCTCTTCTCTTTCTCTCTCCCTCTCTCCCTCTCGCACCTGCTCAGATCTGCGCGCCGAGCCAATGACAGACGTTTGCGTCCTCGCTGCCGCAGAGAGACGCGTCAAGCTGCGCAGCGCCAATGTCTCCAAATGCTCAGCGGCTAATTCCGAGGCGTTAATTTCACATTAAAAGCCCCGCGGTTTGGCACCAACATTGTAATGGAATAAATTAGCAGCGACCATGATTACTGCATAAATGACAAGGCTATTTTGGTCAGTGTGATCGGTCACTAGCCACTGAGGGGAAATCTCACCAACGCACCTCTAATTTGTTTTTCTCATCACTTCCACGTGCACCTTTTCTATCTGTCTATAAGTTGGGATCATATTTGGCTTTATAGTATTTTTTATGCCACCCAGAAAAACCGTATAGTCCAATTAAGTCCTTAAAGAGACAGTAATGAACAGAGCAGGATAAATGATGTTTGGATCGCGGCTCATTAGTTTGTCATTCTGAGGGAAGATGCCACTAAACGTCTAATTAAAAGCTCTGAAACACATCAATAACTCTCCTCCAGTTAATTAGATCATGTTTGTGGCATCCAGGGGAAGGTTACTGTCTATTTTCAGTGTCTGTTCCGCCATTAAGAGTTAAGGTGTCGATGCTCAGAGCTGTGTCAGAGCAGCGGGATGCGCCCGCGCTCGCGCAGCCGAGGACCCGCAGCTGGACGCACGGGGGGATAAAAGTTTGTCCCGGGAGAGAGCATGAGAGAAAACACGTGCAGAGTGTCTGCAGCGAGGGCGGGAAACATGATCCTCTCTGTTCTGTGTTGTGAATGCATTGGCCCCAAATAATGACACCCTGATTTCCTTGGGGGCCCTGAATCTCTCCCTCGCTGCTCCATCTTAAAGTTGGAGACAGTTCTGGCACGTGAGCGGGACTTTGGGAGGGGGGGGGGGGGGCCGGGGGCTCGCGGGCCTGGCAGAGTCTCTATCTGCCCTCTTCCTTTAATCCGTGTGTGTGTGAGCTGCAGCTAAGTTTATGTCTAGCTCTACATGGTGCACTCAACACAATGGCATGAAAAGCTCCGTTCCCGCGTCAGCGTGCATTCACTTTACGTTTCTAGCTCTGGTCGACGTGCCGGCGGGTGTGGGCGTGGCATATTTGTTTTCCTCTCGCTGCCTTTTGTTTTCCTGTTGGCCGTTTCCTCACTGCGCTCAGAGATCAATCGAAACTCATTCATATTGTTCGTTCGCTCTAAAGATCAAAGACAAGCGTCGACTGGTCAAGAACTTCGCGGACAGAAATCTGATTGGCTGGGATGAGGACACGCGTCTGTGAGCCATGAAAAAAAAGATATTTCTACTCACTGACTGTGAGGGAGGAAGTTTTCAGATTCTTTACAGAAGTAAAACTACCAACACTGTAAAAATACTCATACAAATAAAAGTCCTGTATTATTATAAAAATATTCCTTAAAAAAGTAAGTATTATTAAAAGTAAAAGTGCACAAGAATAGATCATGTTATAATTTATTTCTTCTGTTTATACTGTTGTAGTTGGTGAAGGTGAAACTATTATTACTATTATTATTACTATACACTTTATAATACTGTCAGTTTATAGAGTTTAAAACACTACATCATACTCTATAAGCTGATCACATGCTTTATATGGAAAATCTTGATTAAGTAACAAGTAACTGTAGCTGAGGAATACATTGAAAGGTTCAATATTTTCCGTCTGAATCACTGTGGAGTTGAAGTATAAAGTGGCATTAAATGGAAACACTCTAGTGAAGTATTTTAAATTTTTAATTAAAATTAAAACTTTTACTGTGAGGGATTTTGTCACATATCATGATCATCAAGGTCACGAGTGATGACTGACATCATTATATCATTATCACAGATAACAGATGTAACGGATGAATCTCATGTCTAGAGGACTCACACGACGTCCTGAATGTTCCTCTGATAAAGCTGATTTTAGCTGCGGCCTCAGTGCAGATCTCTGAGGACAGAAAGTGACTTTACAAATCACAGTCAAGGTTTGAAATTGATCCTAATCCTTTCATACCCTCAGCATCAGACCGCAGTGACAGAGAGTCGTTCGTTTTTCTCTTCTGCTTGCTCATGCTCCACTCACACACACGGACGTCCTGCAACAAAACTGCATTAATAAATAAATACAGACAAAAAAAAAAAAAAAAAACATCACTTTATTTACTGGGACCAGCGTGATGGCACCAGTGGATACAATCTGAAACCCACCCACCCCCCATGCAAATGTTTGCCCCCCTGCTTCGTTTATTTTCAGTACCCATTATCATGCCAGAGCAGGAGGAAAAGACTTACCAACATGGCAAAGCAAGCGAGCACTGACTTCCTTCACAAACACCAGGAGAGGTCCTCATACAGTTCTAATAACAGAGCAGGCGACCCACCCCGTATTTTTTCAATGGTATGTGTGTTTTTCATAAATATTTGATTTGAGAGATAGCTGCAGATATTTGTCTCTGAGTATGGGGTGGAAACATGCAAACCAATTGTGAAATATTAATAAACCCTCAGACAAACATGTGAGAACGGGACTTCGCTGATGCAAAAGATTGGCTCTATGTTTATTCTGATAGCACGGAAAGATAAAGCACAAACACCAGCGTGTTGTGAATAGGAAGACAGTTCCTGTGTGTTAGGGCTTTCTCTGTGGTGTTGACTTAAACCTCTGGGAGAACAATTCACTGTTTGCAGAAATGAAAAAAATAATAAACTATAAATAAAATGGTACATTTGTAAATACACATAAAATCTAGCTGAATGGTTGCCAGTCACACAAACACGCGTGTGTGTCTGTGTGTGTGTGTGTGTGTGTGTGTGTGTGCGTGCATGCGTGTGTGTGTGTGATCTTTATTTGCTGTTGACAGCGGTCCATGACTGTCAGTACTTTGTCAATGAAAACCTTTTACTCTCTGTGTTTCAGATTGGTGCTATCAGACCCAGTTTACCTGTGATCATCAGTGCAACAGTAAGTTTAATTAATAACACAGGGTGTAACATTTTCTTTAAAATAGAATAATAATAACTTTATTCAAAATGCTTCACAAAAGACAAAACCAACAGATTTAAAGTGACTAACATGCATATCTTCAAATCAAAATAAGGAGCAATTTAAAAGAGGAAAAGCGCAGAATAACATGAAAAGTGATATTAAGCCTGGTCTCCTCTGATTTATAGATGTTCTTCTATCCTGTGTGTAGTTTTGCTGATGCAACCTTCAGCTGAACCGGCTGAAGTCTGGATAGGTTGCACCCACTCAGACAGGAATATATACGTTTACAGTAATCTAATCGGAATGTAATAAAAGCATGGAGTATATTCCAAGTTCAGATTTTGAGAATGTTTTGAAGAAGTTAAATAGTTCCAATTGAACAGCAAAGTTAACGTCGTGATCAAAGTTAAGCGTGTTATGAAATGTGACACAGATTTGTGCAATGAGGCTTAACGTTTGAAGACAAGGACCACTGAAGTGTGATGCTAATAACTTTTAATCTGTGGCAGTGTAACTATAGGAATGTCTGAGAGAACCCGTTCATGTGTACAAGTGCACTGTAGTTCGCTGAGTTGCATCATATCACTTGAATTGAAGATCGTGTAGATCTGAGAATGACCTGCATGAAAATGAAACCTGATATGATGCTTTTGAAATATTTGAGCTGCTCTAACACGTACATGAAGAATTGTAAAGGAACCAGTACTGATCCCTGTGGTGCTCCATGTGTGAATTGTGTAATCGAGGATTTACAGTCATATAGTCACTCTCAGAGATCAAATCATCTTGCTGTCTGTAAGAAAAGCCACAGTAAGATCTACAGGATAAACTTGAGTCTAAAACCAGAAGGAAATTTATCAGAGGCCATTGAACAGAAAGCAATCAGTCCAACTGGTGTCTTCTTGTTATAGCACCGGAGAAGTGGAACCACGCCAACAACGCCTGTTCAGGAAAATCCCAGTCACCCATCAACGTCGTCACCAGGAAGACTTTGAAAGATGAGCGTCTGACGCCTTTCCAGTTCACAAACTACCAGCAGATCTTCAAAGGCACAATCAAGAACAACGGGCACTCTGGTGAGTGGATTTTCTGTTAAACATCCAACAGCCACTGGTGATATGAAGCTGTTGTTTTAACTCTTTATGTCTGATGTGTGTGTGTGTGTGTGTGTGTGTGTGTGTCCACCAGTTCAGGTAGGAGTTCCTCATGTCAGCACCATCTCAGGTGGAGGCCTGCCGACCACCTACAAGGCCGTTCAGTTCCACCTCCACTGGGGCACTAATGGAGGGCCTGGCTCCGAACATACCATTGATGGAGAGCAGTATCCCATGGAGGTATGTTAAACTCACTACACTAACATGGTGAAGTGTCACTGTGAGAAATAACTGATATGCTAATCTGGATCACATGGAGGGAAGGTCTGTAACGGTGAAGACATCAAATAGACAAATATAAAGTAGAAGCTTTAAATCATGTTTTTCATTTACTGTAAGAAACAGTAACGCAACAATAATTTCAGTTATCAAATCAAAAATGGCTAATTTTTCTTTATAAAATAAACTTTTCCAACATGTATGAGAATATCCTGCAGCCACCTCTCAGCTCCAACCCCAATTGTTCCCACTGAAGATGTAAATCACAAATATATACTTTCATTTTTAGAAAAAGGCTCAGCACTGTGTTAAAACAACTGGACATCGTAGTTTAAGCAAATGTTACTCAAACAGCAGTAAATGGTGTATTTGTCGGGGACTATTTTCAGCAGCGGATTTGACACGTTAGTGCGTATTTATGGCAGAAGGACGGCTTAGAGAGGAGTGACTCAAAACAAACTACAGTGCACATGTTCATTATAATGAAGAAACATGTCAGCCAGTGTAACAGTGTGGCTCACTGATGAGTTTTCCGGGAAAACAATGGCGCCTATAGACAGACAAACAAGCTTTATCAGGTATTGGATGCACAGACAATACTTGTTCATTTGATCAATGTATTGATGGGTTAAGTCTTTGTGTTGATAGTTTGATCATTTTTATCATTTTGTGAAACATAACTTGACTCATCTTTGGTGATATTTTATCAACAGCTGCACATTGTTCACATGAAGCAGGATTACACTGATCTGACAACAGCACTATCAGACCCAGAAGGAGTTGCAGTCCTTGGGTTTTTCTATGAGGTAACCATTGTTGATCCTGTGCTGCTGAAATCCAACTAACAGTACAATTATACAACAGAGCTCAAGCTGAAAAGAAAGTGCTGAAATGTTTTTTTTTCTTTTCCATTTGCAGAGATCCAATAGTGGAAACCGAAAGTACGACCCCATCATCAACGCTCTGCAAAACATCAAGACTACAAGTAGGTCTTGAAGCTCAGTATGAGTAAGGAAAAAACACAGCTGCGTGATATTGTTGCTAACGTTTCACCTGTGGCTTTTTCTTTTTTCAGATGCCAACACGTCTTTTTCTGGAGCCTCCCTGACACAGCTGATCCCGTCTGAGCAGAATCTGACCTCCTTCTACCGCTACAAGGGCTCTCTGACCACCCCCGGCTGCACTGAGGCTGTGATCTGGACTTTGTTTGAGAATCCCATCCCTCTGAGTGTGGAACAGGTTAGGATAAAGGACCCGAACATTTAAAGGGTTACAAGTGAATTGTGCTTTTTTTTTTTTTTTTTTTTAAATATCTCCTCTTTGAGCTGCTCACCTCAAGGAAACTAACTTTGTATTTACCTGTGTTCCTCCAGCTGAAGGCGTTTTCCGACCTCAAGTTCCACGATGGAAAGCCGATGGTGGGTACTTTCAGGCCGGTCCAGCCTCTGAACGGCCGGCAAGTGTTCCGGTCGGGAAGTGCGTTGATCCTGGCCAGCTCCGCCCTCCTTGCTGCAGCCATGGCCGCGGCGTTGGGACTGTCCCAACCGAACTAGAGCGAAGCATCCCGTGCTGCACTGCAACGTCCATGAACACAATAAGTTCTGCATCACTCTTCAGCTGAACCCCCGGTTTGTAACTTCGTCATTGCATGGTCGCTAAGATGATCGTCGACATCGTAGTGCAGGCACGACTCACCTGGTGTTCTTCCCTTACGACGCAGATGACAAAGGCGTTCAAGAAACGCCTTACGAAAGGCGCCGTGAGGGTTTGATCAGCATTCATGCATGCGTATTGAAGAAGTAGGTCTTAATTCAACTTTATGAATGTGCCATAAAGCAGGAACCAAACACTCAAAGTGACAGCTGAATTCATCACTAGACCCTTTAGACATGCCCCAATTTTTCACAGTATTATCTAATAAACACCAGCACGCACACACACTTCACACACATCACTCCAAACCTAATGCACCTTGTCCAATGTCAGGTAAATTTAGTCTCCACTAATGTCAGAGTGAGTTGCCGATGGTTTGCGCTCTGAGCGCCGCTGCCAGGCCCATGACCCGGCACGTGATGTGTTTGTTCTCAATGGGGCATGTGAACAGCGTGGAGCTATTAATAACAGAACTGAGTCATAAAAACAGGCTCCATTTCAAAGCCAGCGGTCAAAGGAGTCAGCAGTTTGGCTTTTCTCTCAAAGTCCAGGAGCACACGGCGCGGCCTTCAGGTGAACCCCTGGCAGCCACTCCATCAGCAGTTGGTTCGGAAAAGGGAGGGGGAGGGAGGCGTGCTGTTCTGAGAGCAGAGCCGCAGCCTCTCTCCTCCCGGAGTCAGAAGCAACTGACACCGGAGACGAGAAAGATGAAACTTCAGAGATGCTAATGCTAATAGTGGATCACAAAGTGAGTGACGGCTCAGGGAAGAAGGAGCATCAGCAGCGCGAGGAGACGACAACACTTTTCAAAATCAACCAGCAGCTACGGTGTCACTTCTCTTTTCAAACCAGCGCCACTATTTTTCTCAAACACGCGCATGGATCCGCATGTCTAGATGTTCCAGATGTTTATTATTCTGAGCTACATGTACAAGGCTTGCCAAATTCACACACACACACACACACACACACACACACACACACACACACACACACACACACCCACACACACACACATACCAACGTCACTCCATTCCCATCGTTGACCTGTGAAGTTGAGTGAGCTTGTCTTGAGAACATGTGACTGTGTTCATGGCTTGTATTACAGGGTGTCGGATGCACTGAATGTTATCAACTGTGAATTACACCCCACTGAGTTCTCACTCATTTATTCAGGAGGACTCGTCATGTATTCTAGTGAGAGATCTGTGCAATTTTCCAGCAAGAGTTAGTGATGATCGAGCAAGGAATCTGTGTATTTTCCATTGTTTCATAAGGCATCAAGTTATATTTCTATGCTGTGTCATTGTACACATGTATTTATGTATTGAATGTGTATATTGATATGAGACGCACAGTTATTGTTATTTATGTATTGCAAAGTTTATATAGTACTGAATGCGCATATGAAGCATCAAGTTGTTCATGACCAATCGAGTTTACTCATGATGTTCCAGTGTATGAGATTGTCAGGTTGTAATGCTTGAAAATAATATGGAGAATGTGTTCCAACTGAACAATAAACTACCTACATGCCTTTTTAACGGGCGTCTCTTCTGCTTCCAAGCGATTTGAACCAGCGATCACAGCAGCGTTTGGCCTCAGCGTCGGTCCTGCCCCCGCATCTCTGCACTGTGAAAACTGATCTAAGAAAACACACTGCGTCGGCTCTGTTGTTCGCCTGCTCGCTCAGACGCACAGAGGAGCCGCTCGCTCTCCTGTCCGGGCCCCCCCCCCCCTCTGTCTGCCCTGAGAGCCTGAGAACACGCACGGCTCCCAATCCGTTAATCCTTTTCTAATTGACTTGTTCTTGATGTTATAGAGGCCCGAGTTACACACACACACACACACACACACACACACACACACACACACACACACACACACACACACACACACACACACTCACACATAACTGAACAGGAGAATGTTGTATCAGACACGGCTCACTATCAAAGCTTCAAGAGGAGTCCCACAAACACACTAAAATGCAGGAGACCAGCTGCCTCTGACACAGTTTGCAGGTGCATTTTCAAACTTCTTCCCCTTTCAAGTTATTTTTCATCCCCCTCCTCCCTTCTTTAGCCCCCCACCCACCCCCCCTGTCATTAAGAAATCAAAAGGCTTATTGTGATGGACAGGCTCAGGAAGACAGCAGCCTCTCACACAAAAGCTTGAATGAAAGCCTCTTGTTCATTCCCCCGCTCGGGCTTCTATTGCTTCTTCAGTGAAGTATCAGGAGGGAGGGGGGATCAAGGGCTGGATGCTTAATAACTGGCAGTGATACCTTGGTCTGCTAGTCAACAGACGGCACCCATACAACCTCACTAACTCCTGAATCTCCCCTCAAATGCCCTCTGTCCCAGGGGTCTCTGGGACAGAGGGCACCATTCTCCCTGGGAGAAACCAGAGGCATCCTCATATCGAAAGCGACCCTCCCTGAAACATAGGCAGCCGCCCATCAGATAGCCAGCTGGAGTTAAAGGTCACTGGGCCGGTCTTTCTCCATGTGGGCAAGAGAAAAACAAACAGTCACCTTTACTGCCTCTTTGTGAGATGTCCTCACTTCCTGCGTCTCTAGCTTGAAATAAAAACCCTCGCAGCCTGTTGATGGATGCTGCGATGTCTGCGTCTCACCGAGCTGTCATCAAGAGATATTTGTGACTTTCCTCTAATCTAATTCCTACACCTGCTAACCCAGTTACTGTAGTGATATAACTCACAGAGGTGTCTGCCAGTTATGACTGCCAGCGGTGGAAAATAACTCCTCTCCTGCCAGGTAATGAAGCAGCAGCGACGGCCCTCTCTGCTCTTGTTTTGACAGGGATAAGGATCTGGAGGAAGCAATCAAAAGTGGCCAAACATTAATTTCCTCTTTAATTAAAACCCCAGAAGAGTTCATTTGTGCTTTAAGTTAGCTCAGAGAACTTGACTTGAATAAAGAGAATCTCGTTCACTCCAATCGACCATTTTTTTCAGCAATGGCGGATCATGGAGTGTCTCAGTCGTTATAGTTATCAGACTGTAGCGTTTGTGACGCAGTCTTAACAGGTAGACAACCAGATTGCAGATAATCAGCACACCTGTATCTAATTAACATGTGCATTAAAGCATGTGAGTGAATTTCCTCCACTAAATGAGTGTGTTTAGGGACGTTAACATATTAGACTAAGAAACTGCATAAAATCAGCAACACTTAACATTAACCAGGAGCAGTATCGATTATAAATCTCGTTCTTATGATGTCATTTCATCTAATGTTATGGAATTAGAGTAAAAGGCTGTGATTTTTTTGTGGGTTAGTTCATTCTTACATTGGGCGTGTATGAACATGCATTTTGTTAGACAGTAATAATGTAGAAAGCCATTTTTGTGATACATCGATAAAGTGCATATTTGAGACGATGAGATTTCTCAACAGTAAACAGAAACGTAACTTGGATGTATTTGGGTTTTGTCATTCTGGTGACTGTTACCGGACAGACAGTTCCTCAAAGCACCTCAAGAGGTTCCTCCACAGTTTCAAATTGAAGAACCTCCAAAAGTTCCTCAAGGATCTTTTTGTTTTAACAGTGTATTTGCAGCTCAGCTGATTCTGGTTTGATGGATTGATTGAAAACTCAAGGTAAGTTTAAGGTAAGATAAGGTAAAAATGAAAAATGAATGGGGATTCTCACTAACTACTGAAAGCATTATTCAACATATATGATTTATTATGATTTATTATATTATTATGAGTAATGAGCTGCTGTAGGAGCTTAGGCGCTGTGTGGTGGAGGAGCGGTGATGCTGCAGGTCAGGCTGAGCGGATGAGATTGTTGATGTTTCAAATAAACCAGCGTCCAGTCACAGTAAATGTTTCAGAGCAGTATCTTGTCTGTTCGTAACTATAGTCAAAATAATTCAACTTTAACTCAAAAAGACGTATATTTTCATGTAAATGAGGTCTGTTGACCATAACATTAAAAAATAAAGTTATAGGGTTGTGGTAATGAGTTGTTATGAAGTCGACTGAGAGGGTGTGATGCAGTTATTAGGTAATAATTTTATACTTCATGTTTTATGCACGGTTGACAGGTGGACAAGACGAAGTTACTATAATACATAATAACAATATTAATATTATAATATTATTATTATTAGCCTATATCACAAGGGCTAGCTAGCTGTTAGCTAGCTAGATTAATTGCTAGCTACCATCTTTAGGAGCCTGTTTAACGCAGCACTGACACCGGTGCAGCCATTAGCACACGCCCCATCAGTGTGGATAACATGCTGACTTTTCTACACAGTGGTGGATATCAGTTCACATCCAGCTCTTTGACAGATAATGAGAAACAATGCAGAGCGTCTTAAAGCCTTTTGATCTCACAGAGCAGGGCAATGAGTAAATCACTGGGTTTAGATAGCCTGGGTCAAAAACATCAGTGTTCCCTTCAATGACACCTGAGCTTGCAGTTGCAGATGAGGTCAGAGGTCATCGAAGCGAGCACAGCAGTCTGACAGAGAGCTGGGATGTCCTTATCTATCCAGCCTGGTTTGCATCCTGATCTGCACTCTGGTCCTCTGCACAACAAACTGCGACAACAAACAAGTATTGTTGTTTGTATCCACACCGGAGACAAGGGTTCAGACCCACAGTCCTGCTGTCGTTACATTTACACATCACAAGCACGTTGGTCAACCTTCGTCTCGTCCTCCCGTCGACGGCAACTTTTGTCCTCCCGGGTCAAAACTGACCCGATCTGTTTGACTGTTTATAAAACATGAAGTATAAAATTATTACCCAATAACTGCATCACACCCTCTCAGTCGACTTCATAACAACTCATTACCACAACCCTATAACTTTATTTTTTAATGTTATGGTCAACAGACCTCATTTACATGAAAATATACGTCTTTTTGAGTTAAAGTTGAATTATTTTGACTATAGTTACAATCAGATGGATTATCACAGACAGGTGTTTGTTAAGTCAAGATACTGCTCTGAAACATTTTCAGTAGTATGACCTGTTGTAGTGGCCGGGTCCAATTTGACCTGGGAAAACCACAGATGCTATAAATTTGAATAAAATACCCAAAATTCAGTGAAAATAGTGATCATTAATTATATTAGCAAAAAGTGTAGTAAGGAAGCATCCAAGTTATTTTCAGGCAATTTACGAGAAAGAAAACCAGATTTCTGATGTAAAAACATTTGACCCGAGGACAACAGGAGGGTGGAGCACAGGGAAAGATCATGTAGATAAATGTTGATGAACACTTTGTGTCTGAGGCCACAGTGAACTTTTTCCGTGTTAAACCACATCACCATCTTTCCTTAACCTTTAACCAACTGCTGAGAGAGTCTGAACATAAACATCAAAAACGAAAGAGTGAACTGGATAAGTCTGTGGACAGGAGTTCACGGAGACAGAAGAGAGGTGGATGGACAGATGTGGATGGACAGATGTGGAAGACAGCGACAGCTCTACAGGATTTGAGTCAGTAGTTGTGTTTACAATTCATCAAATCCCCTCGAGAGTTCATTTAGAAGCAAGTTACCCCACAGTAGATGACGCATAAAAGCTTTTACAATGAGGTGGACTGAGTCACGGCGACCTCTCCGTCTCTTTCAGACACAAATTAAACGTCCCTCTTACAAAGTCAGAAACATTTAAGGAATGTGTCAATTCTGTGTTAGGCTCCTATAAAACAATATTCACACGCCCACACGTATGAATGAATGAATTAATGGCCCTGAAGAGATCCCGTCCTAACATGAGGATGACGATGATATGAGTGATGAAGGACACGTTTTCTGTTGTTCTGCAGTATGAACAGGAGCAACAATCACAGAGACCAGAAAACCCTTCAAGATAATGTGGTCATGTGAGGACGGCCCTGAAAAGAACGTGAGCCTCCCCTTTAAGATGGCCACAAACAAATTCATTGAATCTGGCTGGACTGCAAAGGGAATGAACTAGAAACAAAAGTATTTTTTATCAGTAGAAATACTTAAAGTCTGTCCATGAAGGAACTCCTTATTCTATCCACTGCTGACACATTTCATATCTCACAGTACTGATAGTGGCGTGGCAGTGTAACCCTCAGGACAATAATGATAAGATGGTACCATTGTGTGTGTGTGTGTGTGTGTGTGTGTGTGTGTGTGTGTTTGTGTGTGTGTGTGTGTGTGTGTGTGTGTTTGTGTGTGTCTGATCCTGGGTGCCTAGAAGTCTGAGGGTGTGCAGCTCTGAAAAGGAGCAAGTTTTGGTCTTTTTCAGCGGAGAAGGACTGAGGGTGCCTGATGCCCACAGACAGATAAGTGAGAGATAAGATGAGATAAGTTCTTTCATTGTCTGAGAGTCGCAGCACAGATTTGAAAAGTTGACCTGAAGCAAACCTTATCTGAGTAAATTTGCTCCCAAAAGGACAAACTGTTGAATATCTGTCCCTTGAGAGATTGAAAGAAATCAGAAAGCTGATATCGTGGCACCTTTGTTGTGAAAGTGACGCTCCGTCGTGACCTGAGTGCAGACTTGGACTGAGGCGGCGTCAA